AAATAAACAATTTAAAACTAATAGTTTGGGTTTAGTACTTTGGGAAGTTTGACATTAGATTATTCCATCTCTCTTTGGAACTGATTAGCCCTGATCAGTAACACAGAATCAATATTACTGCTTTAAAAAAAATTAAAGAGGGTGCTATTTTCACCTAAGTGGTACAAGAATGAGAAATAGTGGGAAAGTTAATCAGTGGCAAAATGATGTGTGTATCCCTGCACCAATCTCCCTGCTGGGGCTTGCTGAACCTTCTAAAAGTTTTTCTCAGATAGTGTCAGCTAATATACTATGACAAGGAATTTTCTGATACCAGTCTGATGGGGTGCTGTTGATCATTTTATCTATCTTATTATGCAAGCTCTAAGTAAACCATTGCTATAGACTGAATGTTGGTGTCTCTCCCAAATTCGTATGTTGAGACCTGATCTTCAGTGTACTGGTATTTGAAGGTGCAGCTTTTTGGAAGTAATTGGGTCAGGAGGGCAATGCACTCATGAAGGGGATCAGTGCTTTTTAAAAAGAGACCCAGAGGGCCAGGGATTTAGCTCAGTGGTTCCGCCACCTGCCTCCAAAGCGCAAAGACCAGATCAACCAGAATTCAACCAGATCCCGGTACCAAAACCAAAACCAAACAAACAAAAGAGAACCAGAGAGCTGCTCCCTCACCTTTTCTGCGATGTGAGGACACATCAAAAGAAGACATTCTCTATAAATTAGGAAGCAAATCCTCACCAGTCACTGAATCTGCTGGCACACTGATCATGGACTTCTCAGAGCTGTGAGAAATAAATTTCTATTGTTTATAAGTCACCTAGTTTTTGGTATTTTGTTATAGCAGCATGAATGGACTGAGAAAGACATATGATTTTGTTTGGAGGAGAGAATAGGATGACAAAATTCTTCATTTTACAGTGTTACCTTTTCAAAGTCAAGCAAAAACTTGGCAGCTAAATCAAGCCTGGAACTGGATGCTGCTCATGTCTATCTCTATATTTAAAAGTGTCTCAGAATTCCTTTTGTGCCCCTCTCTTTCCTGCTTCTTTACACACAAAAATGCAAGTTAAACTGCATCAGTCAAACACTGGATATTTATTCTCTGTTCTGTTTAGCCAGACTCAAAGTCTTCTTTGAATCAGGAAATCAGGTTGTTTTTCTCTTCACTGCAGTACAATTATTTCTGAGCCATATGCAGGTTCTAATAAGACTTGTGACATTTGCAGACCATAAGCAGCTGTGGTAAGTAAAAGCCTGAAATCTTGAAGTTACATATACTATACATAATTTCTGATTGATCATCATGACAATGAAAGAAACAATGGCCTAAATACATAAAAATAAAAGAAAAAGAAAAATGACGTGTTGAGGGAGTTATCTTTGCTATAGCTAAGATAGACTGTGGAATCCTTTTACTTACGGACGTTTTTAGTATACCTATACTAAACCAGACCTGCTCCCATCTTAATGTATTAAGAGTAGAGATATTTGGGATGCTCATCAGTTATTAACAGACAAATTAAAGTTAAACTGAAATCTCACACGCACCTTTATACTTAGAAGAAAAACTACTGAAAATCTTTTTTTTTTTTTTCTATACTTCTGCCACTAGGAGGCTTCCGATCTCAAGAAACAAACGCTTAACATTCAGGAAAATCACATTCTAATCCAAGGACTATCATTAGCCACTCAACAGTTTAAGGCCAGCGAGTGTCACTTGGGCAGTGCAGCTGTTTACATACTGACTATCCCAACTATCCCGAGTGTCATTTGGGCAGGTGTTATTTCAACCAATCGATTCTTGCATTGAATAAATTTGCTGAAATTGTCGTTTTTATATTTCTTGTTATATTATCTTTTTTTCTTCTAATAACAAGTCAGTATATTAAAGTCATGAAGAAAAGAAAAGGTCAAAGTCTTTTCATGTAATGTTTATAAAATGCAACAATGAAAGTTTTTATAATCAGTTATTAGAGATATATGTTTGAAAGAATATGACTAAAACTTCATTTTCATTAACGTATGTGATACATAATAAAGACACTGACTATGAGCAATTGGCATATATACATATCACATTTGGTACTACCATTGCTTCTTTTATTCTAGCACTCAATTTTTAAAAATTAATTTTATTAATTTTATTAATGTTATATTACCTTATTAAAATGAAAAAAATATGCAATTTTGGGTCACCTTATATTTAAATAATTGGACAGATAAGTGGCTAATTCAAGCCTTGCCACTTACTAATATGAATGTGGAATTGATTTGTACCATGTCAAGTGAGTAGTTGGATATGATGGTCAGTAATTTTACTAAGTAGACACTGCCGACCGCAAATGGACTACAATAGATGTGGTATCTGAGTCATAATTAGTATGTACAAGGTCCACACTCAGAATTCATTTGAACTCAAGTCTTTGATTCCTCATGTAATGTTTTCTGCTTTGCTGAACGCTGCAATTTTATTACGGTAGAAAATGGTCCTGGCTCCTTTTGGAAGACATAGGTCCCTCTGAAGGTAGGGTAGAAGGGTATGTTCTGTGTTCTTTCTTAAACTAGACATTATGTGGGCTTTTCATTTTAATATTTTAGTTCACAGTATTTCTCTAAGTGATATAAAAATCATGCTAAATAGATGAAAAGTTACCATTTTAAGACATTTTCTTTAGAACACAAGCGTAATAATACATTTTAGGTAAATTTAGTTTATCTTTTTAAAGAGCAGCCTAACATTTGGATCAGTTAAACTTTGAGGAAGGAAGAAATTCAAGTCCCCTTAGCAAGAGGAGGCTACAATGGGACAGATGTGAGACCAACAGCTCAGTGAGAGGAGGCTGAGATTTCACCAAGGATTCTGCAGAAATGCCAGAGCATCACTGGAGAGATTTGAGCTGTTACAGAAATGCCAAAGAGAAATTTGACCCCAAGTTAGGCCTTTGGGATCTGTGAGACCCAGAAATGTCAAGGTAGTACAAGGAAGTTGTCTCTGCCTCTGTCTCCCTGCTTCCCTACTCTGATGTCTATGCTGTGTACTGTCCTTAACTCTATTTTTATTCTTAAATCTTGTGTTTCTTGTCACTTTGCCCAAGCTGTTTAGCTTTTACCACACAGAGACATTGATCTTTCAAATATACAATTAGCCAAATAGTATTTTCTTTCCATCCACTCATCCACTCTAGGTCAATAAAGTATACCATTCAAGATACAATCTCTGGCAGTCAAACCATTGCTAACTGCTGAAAATTAGTTCTCTTTCCTTTGTAGTCCATTAGTACAGTCCTAGTGTTTCTGGTACACTGTTTACAAAATAGTAATATTCAACTAGCATTTAATTGATTGTGTTAGTTAACATTTATTTTGTGATGGTTCCTATCAGGGTCTCTGAAGGGGATCTATAGGTAGCAACCTTCTTCCTCAGCCATAATCTGAATAAATTGAGGAGTAGGAGGTGGCACAGACCAAAATATCAACTTTATCACTGATGACAGCTAGTTTGGGGTACATAATTTAGTGAGGCACAAGTGGGCCTGCAATCTAAATTCTGAGCTCAACAGATTTGTTCACTGGACTCAGTCTCAGCAGTGTGGCCCGGGCGCTTCTCCTGGGGTGGCAGAGGCACCTTGAGAGATTCACCCACACAGCAGAGCAGAGCTCACTGAGCATACCCTGGATGTTCCTGCCAATTCTCCAATTTTTCCAGGTACTCAGGTTATTGGACACAGCAGGAAGAGTCTTTGTAATAAAAACCAAAGAACTAGGAAGAGGCATTTTTCCTCTCCCATTTTACTCTGGCTATAATAGAGAATTATTCACTGTAGGTAAATTAATGCTTGCTAAACTCCTCTTTAGAATTATAATGTCAAGTTAAATTTTTCAACTTTGGTTTTCTTACATTGATCATTTGATGAGTAAATTTGACTCATGTACAGTATACTTTATTTTGGTGAGGGGGAGATTAAAGATTTTTAAATACTATAGAAACAAACTTTTGTGAATTCTCTCAGCAGATACAACCGATTGGTGGTATATATTGTCTACAAAAAATAATTCTTATATCTTTCTATAGTATAATGCTTATCTTTCTATATATTGTGGGAAAACAAAAACAAAAACAGAAAACATAGTGATGGTACCAAAAAACCCTCAGGTGGTTTTTAATGCTGGAAGAAATAAAGAAAATCAGTTCAGTGCTTGCTTCGGCAGCACATATACTAAAATAAGAAAATCAGTTTAAGTAATACAAGCATGATTCACCATTATACATAATTATGCACTGCTTTGAAATGCATACCATGTCAAGTAGCAAAAAAATATGTATTGTGGTCATTTTCCATTTTGATGGTTTATTGTAAAGGATTTGCTATGTTAAATGTGATTTAACACTTCATTTTTCTTCTTATGAATAAGTTGATTTAAAATGTGTATGCTACTTTAATTTACAAAAGAATAATACATAGAAATTATATGGCAATTTATGTTTCCAAAGTAATTTGTAAACTTTAAATGAATAATGCCAACAGCACCACTGGGAATAGGTCATAGACTACATATACCTTATTTCCATAAGAGTTTCTGGAGAATATAGTCATACAAATTACTCTGGTTAGAAAATGTACATAACAAGACAAATACAACTTCTACTGGGTCAGGGGCATCTTGAATCTATCAAACACATGAAAGAAAGTTTTATAGGAAATGAAATAGGCAACCTCAATTTAATGGGATGATGGAATAGCTCTGGTAAATATATGTATATAAATAGAAGAATTAGCATTCTCAAACAATACACCATACTTACTCAGATTAGTTGAAATGGGAACCAGGAAACCTTTGAGGTCATTTGCCCTTGGGATTGCTTTTCCTGTGTATAATATGATCACAATGCAGCCAAATACCAAAGCAGCAGCCAATTAAATTAACCTTAAGAAGAGATTTGTGAAGGGAAAGGGTAAGTTAGCAACAAAAAAGGAAGGAAATGGCAAAAAGGAAGAACTTACCATGATCACCAACTTTCTTTTTAAAAATTGTTCTCTGCTTTTGTACTGTAAATTGATTGTAGTTTTTCAGCTGGTGGAGCAGTTTTTGGATATCCTGGCATCTGTTGAGGAACAAATGATATATAAGTTTTCTCTCACTGATAAAGAACTGATGAGTTTCACAGCCAGGAGCAAGGAAAATCTCTCTCCCTTGGCCCTATTACAATCTCTCTTTTGTTGTCCAATAGTTTTCTTTTGTACTTTCCCCTTCCTGTATCTCTCCCTTACTAATCTGTAGTTAATAGGAAACTCGTGTAATCAGGCCATTGTAGGATGCTGAGAACTTCTGTCTTTCTCAATTGTTCAAAGCTTCGCATTCAAAGTAGACATATTTCATAAACTGTTTCCACGGCTGTTCCCAATTCTCTCGCCACTCTTTAAGGCGGGTCCATCATCTCCAACATAGGCTGTAGACAATGAGGGCCTGACACATTCACCATTTACCTGACAGTGTCTGTGCTGACATCATTCTCTCCTCTCTGCTCTGCCTGCACCTCTGCGTGCTGCATCTAATCCATTTCGCTCTGGTTCTGGCTCTTTGACTGTAAGAAAAGGTTCATTGTGAACAATCTGACAGGTAATGACAGGGACTTAAACAGGAAAGGGTTATTGGTCTCTCCTCTAGAAGTCCAAGGATAATATAGCAGCCTAATGAAGACATGGAGGATCTCAACTCTTTTCACCAATTTTATTTCCTCATTCTCAGTGTGTTGACTTTTACCTTCATGCCTGTTATCACATGTGGAAAGACAGATGCTCTCATAGCCATTTTCTGGGCTGGAAGAAATAGCAAGTGAATACAATGGGACTAGCACACACTGGTCAGAGCTGTCACATGGCCATGCAAACTTCAATGAAGCCTGGAAAATGGAGATTTTAGTGTTTAACACTTCTGTAGGGCAGAGAGTAGAAAATGACATAGTATCAGCCAAAGAATAGCATTTGGCTGTTGTGAACTAAAAAAATTCTTTTCTGACCTTTCTCCAATGGTCAGAAGTGATTATTTCCATGGTACCTATTATTACTATCACATTCCTTCTGTAATTTCACACATCACACTCCATTTGTTTAAAGGTAAATATCCACTTTGTAGGTTGCAGTAGAACAGTGATATTAATCATAATACTGATCTATTCATTAACACCATCTGTTCACATTCAATTATTGAATATCTACCTACTATCATCAAACTCTGAGATACATTGTTGACTAATACCTACTTCCTGTCATTAAGTATATAGCTTATCTGTACCATGCTTTATCAATTAGGAATGCCTTCAGCTACTAAAAGTAAATTCAACTCACAGGTACTTAAACCATAATAACAATCTACAATTTACTTTTTTAAAAATTTCAAAAGGAGGTGAATAGCTCTACAGTATTATGATGCTGGATTATGTCTCTGTGACATTCTCCCTTCTCATGATCACAAGACGGCTGCCGCACTGCCAACATCTCACAGCCACGACAGTGACACAACTATTCCCTCATGCTTCCTTATTAGTGAATTCGGTCTTCCTCAGAGGTCCCTTAGTGAACTCAACTGACCTAGAAGGGGATCAAGTATCTATTATTAACTTTAAGGGAGGCTAGAAGAGTGCCTGGTGAGCAAGGGAGAAAGGATTTAGAATTAGTATTGGGTAGCTAATATTGTTGTCATAAATATTTTACAGCATTCCACATACTTTTGTATCTATGATCTCATCTTATGACTGAAGAGGACTGCTATCCAAACACACTGGGAACCCAAACGTGGAACAGGAGGTCTAAGCGACATCTGCTATGTGGGAAATTCTGGCTGTGAAATAATTTAAAGATTCTTTGAAGGTGCAAATGTAACACAAGGGTTTTAAAGATGTTATGATGCATTCTGCTTATAAAGTATGCATGCAAGAACCCAAAGAGTAATTCAGAAAATTTTATAGTTTGGGAAGATAATTACAGAGTGGGATGAAGAGAGGAATCCAGATACATGGACTCCAGCCCTCTGTCTTGGATGAGATCCTGGAAAGATTCTGAGCCTGTTTCCTCATCTGTAAAATTATGCAGTCAAACAAGATGAGATGATCCTGAAACATTTTCTGAAATCTGAATTCTTATATAATCATAATGTGAGAGTCATGAGCTAAGGCAACATTAAAAATCAAGCTCTTTTTACAAATGAGATAACAGAAAGGTCACTATTTATCCAAATTCACTCATTTAGGCTAGAAATTTGAGTTCCAGTATATTGCACACAAGGCTTTCACAAATAATTAATATTGCTTGTATCTTGGCAGAAATTTAAGAATTTGGTTTCTTTCTTGTCTTAGAATCTCTCTCTGATGGCATTTATTATTTAACAGAATGCAAATAATGAAACTTTTAAAAGTCCACCTTTTACCTGTAACTTTTTTGGTAAACTACTTATCCTCTCTGTAAAATAACAATTGCAACTTTATAGTCTTTTGAGGATGAAATACAGTAATGTAATAATAAACCTTAGTGTAATAACACACTGCAAAGACTCAAGCTGCAGTAACCATGATTGCCATTAATGTCTTCCTATCTCAAGTAGTTAAAGCTTTTCCAAGCTTGAGAAAGTAACCTAGACCAATTTTCCCAGCAGGCTGCACTGGAGGTGAGTCTGAATCTATTATTATTTTGCCTTTATATGATCATATCTTCTACCTTTGCATTATGTAGATGTGAAGATTCTGTGTAATAACCAAGGGTGTGGTACCTAACTGAAGTCAGACCAGTCATTACGGTGCCACTGAATTCAGTAACTGGTAATTTGGACAAGCAGAATTATAACAACTTAAATTAAAAATACACTTAAATCAAGGATTCTGAGCCTGTGATTCATGGATGCACTTCAGGACATAGAGTCATCTGACATCACTGAGACAGGTTTTCTCAACCTTGGCTCTTCTGACCCTCTGGGCAATCATCTCAGGGGCTGCCCTGAATATTTTATCAGGATTCTTGGCTTTTATCCACTAGATGCCAGTAATGCTTCCCTGTTCTGCTAACCAAAAATATCTCCAGATTTTGCCAAATATCTCTTGGAGGGCATATTTCTCCTCCCTTTTGTGAACTTTATGATAAAACTATATATCCCCCCCCAGGATGCTTATTAGTTTCTTCTTATTCTTATAAAGACCTATGACTTTAAAAGGATTGGAACCAATTACTTAAAGCCTTCCAAACTAATAACGAAAGAACACACATATCCAACTGTAGTTGTAAAAAAATGTACACCATCATGGTTAGTTAAATGGTGTAATTTGAAAATTTATTACAAAGTTTATACAAAGTATGAACCTATCCTTTTATTTCAACTACTTTGAAAAGATATATCACCAAAACTGTATCTGGGGAAAGTACCTACTTCAAAAACTGCTATTCCCAGATGGTGTGTTTCTTAAAATACTATCTTCAGCTGACGCCCACAGTCATCCACTAAATCTAGCTCTAAACTTCCAAAGGAGTTAGTATTAATGACAAGTAAAAACAGACCCCATGTCGAGAGGAAAAATAAAAATTAGCTGTTTTTCAGAGAAGAAATCCAAAGCTGATATCGACTATTACCACTGAGTAGAAGGAAGAGGGGTGGAAAAGAAGGGAGGTCAGGGGACCAAAGGGAAGGGAGAGAGAAAGACAGAGAGGAACGGGGAGAAGAGAGGACTGGGGAGCGGAGGGAGAAAGGAGGAAGAACGATGGAGAAGGAGAAGACTGCCTTGACAGAGATAGCCGAAGAGGTTTATCTCTCTTCCTGGAGAGGCTCCTTAGATGACTCCCTCGGCTTCTCCCCGGCCTGTCTGGAAAGCTAGCTGCCCCCTTGGAGACCTGTGCTCTCGCTCTCTTCCACTCCCATGTCCACACCCGCCTTGCTCATCGCCTTCCAAAAAGACCGCTTCCCAAGATCCCCTAAAGCTCAGCAGACCCCTTTCCCTACTCTTTAAGGCCCTCCTTCCCGTCTAAGTCTCCTGCTGCGGTAGAAAAACTACAACCCAAGTCCTCGGCCCAAAAAGCAAACAGGGACTCGGTCTCCTGCCGCGCCCGAGGGAGCACCCGCTAAGACCAGCAACTTCGCCAGCTCCTCAGCCTCCAGGAGACGGCCCGGGAAGGCAGGGTGTGGTGCAGGGGACCAGCCGCCGGCGAAGCCCCGGAGCCGCTCGGAGCCGCCCCGGGGGGGCTCTGCCCTTGTGGGCGGTGGCGCGCGTCCTCGCCGTCTCTGCCGTCGAGGGGAGGGGACAGGAGGGGGCGGAGGCCGGGCGGCAGGAGGAGGCGGTGCAGCCCAGCCGCTCCTCGGCGCGCAGGCCGGCTCCACCGAGTGAGGTCTCCACCCCACCCTCCCGTTTGCCCCGGGCTCTGCGGCTTCTGGACTGCGCGAGGAAGACAAGGACGGTCCCAGGTCGTTGGATGTTCCGTCCCGGAAAGACAGCAAGTTGTGGAGCGCCCGGGACCCGGGAGAGGAGGTGGCCGCCGCCCGCCGGCCATGTGAGTAGAGCGCAAGGCTGCCCGGGCCCCGCTCCCGGACCCCCTGAGCCCGGCTCTCCGTGGGCTCTGCCGGCCTGCCGCGTCTGCTGTCGCGTCCGCCTCCGGGGGTTGCTGCCTTCCCATGCTTCGCCTTAGTTCCCCTTTAAACCGCTGGAGAGTCCCCCTCTCCCTGTTTTAGAATTGTGGGATCATTGTGTTTCCACGGGTGGGCGGGTGACAGAGGCAATCTCGGGGGGCCGAATGTGTTCTTGTTCCTAGACTCCCTGGAGGCGAGGGCCCCCCTTTCTCACGCCACCCCCTGCTGGTCTTCCCCAGCCTTCTGGCCCAGGCAGACCAACTTCAGCCAGTGACTGCAGCTGACAATTAAAAAAAAAAAAAAAGGTGGCTGCGGGTCTCTTCGAATTATACCCAGAGACATCTGGGGAGGAGATGGTGAAAGGATAAAGGAAAAAGGTTTGCTGTGGACCCTTAAAGCTGGAGTTAGAAAGGAGTTCAGGCTGTAACTCTACCGTGGATGTCCTGTGTGTGTCTGTGTTCATTATGGAAAGTGTGAGAAAGCGTTCAGGAACTCGTTTTGTATGGCAGGAGCAGAAGTACTGTATATGTACCTGCAACCATTTGAGTGACTGGTATTTGATGTCAGGTATTAAAAAGCACGTGTTACCTTTCGGGTTAGACAATAGTTCATCAGGGGAAATGATTCCCATGAAATCATGGGAACTAATGAATCAGAAGAGTAGATGTGAAAATAAGACACACACACAGGCTTTCTTTTACCTGAGGAGATAGTTTTTAAGACTGAAGGAATTCTCAGATGCTACTGATTGATTGAGTACTTGGGAGTGTCTGATAATAGTTCTATCTAATGTAGTTGCCTAGATGGTCTATATTGTTTGTTGAATTTATGATATTCTTCCATGGGGGAAAGTTATCCTAATTATTTTATTTGGGCTCAGAAAGTTAATGCACAGTTAAAAGGGCACAGGAGAGTTGCCACAGTGAGTGTGAATTTGCAAGCAAAGTAAACAAATGATAGTATGGTTCATTTTATTTTAATATCCTGAATTATGTTTACTGCCAGTAAAAATGTTACGTTACTTTTAATGTGAGTAAGTGAAATGAATTCCCTGGCTTGGCAAATAGAAGTCATGTATTTCTTTAAGTAAATAGCTGTCAGAGTTAATTTGGGAGCATTTACAAGAAATAAAGACATGAAAAAATTTTGATCGGGTTAGACAGAAATTGAATTATAGAGAAGCTTACAGAGAGAATTAGTTCTTCTCACTTTTGAAGTGTTGAGGCAAGTTTGAATGTTTATTAACTTAAATTTACAGACCAAATGTGTGTTAGCATTTCTCTAAAAGTATTTAACTTTTAATATTCCATATTACTGTTTGTTTACCAGGGACCGTCATCAGTACTACAGAGGATGGGAAGTTGATGCCCAGTAGGGCTGAAGATCCAGTTTGCTAATAGACACTCCCTGCTTTCAGAACTGTGGATTACCTGCAGTTTCCTGGTGATTTCACACCTTTACTCACTCCTGCATTCCCAGAACATTGACTTCAGTCCTCCTTGCCCAGTTTGGTGAAAGATGGCATCCAGCCTGACTTGTACAGGGGTGATCTGGGCTTTCCTTTCTTTTCTTTGTGCTACCACCTCCTGTGTGGGGTTCTTTATGCCTTACTGGCTCTGGGGATCACAGCTGGGCAAGCCAGTGTCCTTTGGTACTTTCCGGAGATGCTCCTATCCTGTGCATGATGAGAGTCGGCAGATGATGGTGATGGTGGAGGAATGTGGGCGATATGCCTCCTTCCAGGGCATCCCCAGTGCAGAATGGAGGATCTGTACCATAGTGACCGGCCTGGGCTGTGGCCTGCTCCTTCTGGTGGCGCTCACGGCCCTCATGGGTTGTTGTGTGTCTGAGCTCATCTCCCGGACAGTAGGAAGAGTGGCTGGAGGAATTCAGTTTCTAGGGGGTAAGTGACTTACTACATTTGAGTTGTTTGCCAGAATCCCAAAGGAATATTGAAAATTATATTTCATTTGTCTACTGAGATTATTGTAATTGACACTTGGAATGCACAGGAGAAATAGATATGGAATGGCTTTTATCATAGGCTGCCAGAGAGAAAGATTTTTACTGGAGTTGCTTTACAGCTTAAAGAGCTCTTAATTTCTGTACATCCTTAGACATATGCATCATTGGCTTGCTAAGTACCACCTATAGTGATATATGTAGTAGGAGAGATAGTTTGGATTTTATGGCTACTTGTTTTTTCTGTCTGACTATGGGCAATTGGATTATCCTTGACTTAACTGGAATACTTAGTCTTTAGAGGCAGAGGTTTATAGGAAAATGGAAAAGGTTTTTGATTTAACATTGTCATAAACCATCAATACTTCTCATTGGATGTAAAATTGACCCTTGTCCAATCTTTAACTATATTTCTCAATAAGTATTATTGCTTCAAATGATAAATCAGTTTTATATTAACAACTATAAACTTAACTACGGTAAAAAGATCTCTATAGGCTTAATTACTGTGCTAGGATTCAACTTCCCTGGGTGCTTTTGCTGGTCGGGGAGCGGGGGGTTATACTCTATATAGTGAATGATGTGTGCTCGTCCCAGATGGACTGGATAGTTTCACTAACACCAAGAACGTTTTGATTTTTTACTTGGCTTTTCTCCAGCAAGTGTTGCTTCAATATTTCTGGTCATATGGTTTTAATTGGACTTTATGTATTTTCCACTGTGCTTTTCACCTTCATTCTTCAACCTGACTGGCTAAACTTGTGTGATTTACAGTTCACTCTTGTGAAATATGACAACCTCCACAGATAGTGCAGACTGAAGGGAAATAGGAAACCTGGAAAACTTATAAAATGTATTTGTAACTTCATGACAAAGTAAAAGTCTACTACTCTCCCATTTGGTATTGCCTTACAGTCTTTCGTGAAGAACACAGAAGAAAACACATTAAAAACGAATAGTTCTGAGATAGTGTGTACATATTAGAGAATCCCAATTGGTTATTCCAGACGCTTTAATATAAAGCATTCCAGTAATGTTTTATGTGTGCTGAAAATGCATGTGGCAGAAAGTTTTGTCTTTTGACACAAGGGGTAGATTCGTTTCCAGTCTTCTAATTCCTTACCCTAAATTAACTTTGTCCTCCTCAGTTTTTTTTTCCTGTGGTTTTGCATCCTAGTCTGCTCTGGGGACCCTAACAGTCCTCTCCTTACTGGTTCTGTATTCATCAGTGACAAAAATCTTGCCTGTAATATGTATATTTACACAGAAATATATTAAATATATTAGGAAACATGAAGTTTTTGTTGAAAGTAGAAATGTAAATGCAGAGTTGGAAAACTTGTTGATAGATACCACAGATTTTTAGAATAGTACTAATGCCAAGAGTATTTAAACATTTTTTTTTTTTAAAGAATCAACTGGATTTGCTATTTGTTTCTCTTGGCTCAGGAAAATGCTTAAGCAGTTTCATTTTCTTCTCTTATGGTAAATATTACTTTCTGTTTTTCTCTATTTTAGGGCAGAGACTGCTATTATTTCTGGCAGCATAGAAAATGCTTACAAAGAGAAATCAGTTTTTATTGATTATCTTTAAACGTATAATGAAAGAAGGCAACAGGAAGTGAATCTGAGACCCAAGAGATTTATGCTTCTCTCTCTAAGCTATGTATAGATTTTTTGGAATTATATAGAGCTAAATGTTCTACTTTACAAAATACCCAAGGGGATAGACAATTGAGAAAGTTATATATATTTTAAGATGGTCCATGTTTTTTCTTCGTGGATGTTTTTTCACGAACTCTGGCTTGGGAAGAGTTATTGAGACTAAGCTAAGGATGTAATTTGCTTGTAGTTGATATTCTCTTGTTTTTCACATGTTTCTCCTATCAGGCAAAAATAGTTCTGAATGTAAAACTAAGAAGCTTTTTCTGGTTTTGACCTCTTAAGAGTACAAGTAAGTAAATATGCCTGTTATCAAAGATAATAGTAACTTTGGAATTAAAATTAACTTGCATTTGGAAAAGGTTTTGAAAATCTGCCAGTAACCACTATCAGATGCAAAACAAAACATTTCAAAAATAGTTTCTCCTGTTGTTCATTTGATAAGTGGATTTTTATTTATAAAACTTGTGTGGTAAGTAGTTTTATAATTTTTGTTAAATTTTTCATAAAATCGGTGGGTTCTATAAAGACTGCAAAATGTCAAACCAGTGAGTTCTGTGAATCTCATAGACTATAATGTTTCTGAAATGTAATCAGCATACAGGGTACGCTGCAGATTCTCTTCTAAAAATGATTTGCCCAGAAGGGGTATGTTTAGCTAAAGTGAGGGTTGCTCCAAAAACAACAGGAAGCAGGAGAATGGCAAAATACAGAGGCATCCTG